GAATCACAAACATATGCCAAATAGGCCAAACACCCCTTCTCGACCATTCGCCGAGCTTTCATATATAAGATAACACTATGAGTAGAATGACCAGGAGCCCCTCTCCACTCTAAACGAGGCAACCCCAGCAAGGCTAAGGTCACAGTCTTGGCATGATAGTCCAAGATAGTGTGGTAAGGTGATAACCAGTCAATCCCTAATATGACATCAAAATCAACCATGTCCAAAAGGAATAAGTCTACTCGAGTCTCAATACCCCCAATCACCACTATACAAGAACGATGGACACGATCTACCACGATAGAATCACCCACCAGTGTAGATATATATACAGGAGCACTCAAAGAATCACTAGGCATGATCATATACAGTGCAAAATAAGGGGACACATAAGAGTATGTAGACCCTGGATCAAATAGTACTGAAGCATCCTTACTATAAACTAGAACAGTACTTGTAATAACTGCATCGGAAGCCTCAGCATCAGGCCTGGCTAGAAGAGCATAACATCGGGGCTGGGCCTCACCATTCTGAACTACATCTCTGGGACGGCCTCCTGCTGCTAGCCTCCACCTCTAGCACCCCTACCTCCACCTCTAGCTGGCTGAGTGAGCGGTGGAACACTCGGTGGCTGAACCATGGCATGGAAACCCTGGTGCTAAGAACTGCTCGGTGCTTGAGGGCAAAATCTAGCAATATGCCTCATGTTACCACAAGTAAAACAAGCCCTCAGCTACTGGGACTAATGACACTGAAAACTCTGGAGTGGAGGTGCACTGATAGGAGTTAGCGATGCACTATAGGACTGCTGATCAGAATACTGCATGTGAGAACTACAACCATCTAGGGCACCGTGAGAAGCCTGAAGCGCTGAATGAAACGGACCGGGAGGATGGCCCCTACTAAAAGAATCCTTGCCTCCAGACGAGACACCAGTGAACCTACCAGAATGACGAGGTCTCTTTTCAGACCCCTGACCACCCCCTGTGATAGAACCATCTCAACTCTCCTCGCCACATTGGCCGCATCCTGAAAAGAAATCTCGTTTCCCGTCTCCTTATCCATATGCAATCGAATTGGCTGAACGAGTCCCTCAATGAACCTCATCACTCTCTCTCTCTCTCTCTCTCAGTGGGAAGTATAAGAAGAGCATGGCAGGCCAAGTCAATAAATCTGGTCTTGTACTGAGTAACGGTCATAGAACCCTACTGAAGACACTCAAACTGTCTCCGATAGTTCTGCCTCTGAGTGATAGGAAGAAACTTCTCCAGAAATAGCTGAGAAAACTAATCCCATGTCAGATCTGGAGACCCAGCTGGTCTAGCCAAATAATAATCTCTCCAACAAGTCTTGGCGGATCCAGACGAGCAAAAAGCAGCAAACCTGTCCAATCTCTATAAGGCATTAGAAAACATAGCTGGCCCCTCTACGGTCTGTGCCACAATCTCCACAAGGCAGTGAAGAGCTTGGTAAACCTGTCCAATTTCCACAAGGCATCAGCAAACATAGCTGGACCCTCTCCGGTCTGTGCCACAATACCAAGCTGAACTACCCCAACTGGTTGAGCTGCTGGAGTCCGAAACTGGGGAGCCATTTGCTCCAGAGTGCGAGTAGCAGGAGTCTGGGCTCCTCCTCCATCCTGAGAGACGGTTGGTGCTATAGGAAGCAAGCCTTCCTGGGCGACACTCTCCATAAGGCCCACTAGACAGACTAGAGCATCCTGAAGTACTGGGGTGGTGATGATCCCCTCTGGGACCTGAGCTAGCCCGCTGGAACTAGATGGACTGGAACCTCCTCGTCAAACTCAACCAGAGGCTCTACCGCTGGTGCTGCTGCTCGAGCTCTAGACTGAGCTCTGCCTCTACCTCGGGCCCTAGCACGGCCTCTGCCTCTACCCCTCGCATGAGATGCTACTGGGGGCTCGGGATGCTGGTCAGCTGATGAAGCGATACATGTTCTCACCATCTGCGAGAGAACAGAGTAGAAGTTCAATTAGCATTGAGAAATCAAGTTGCGCGACAAGAAAGAATAGATGTGAAGTTTTTCCTAACTCTGTAACCTCTGGGGGTAAATATAGACATCTCCGTACCGATCTATCAGACTCTACTAAGCTTGTCCATGAATTGTGAGACCTAAGTAACCTAGAGCTCTGATACCAACTTGTCACAACCCGGATTTCCTACCCTCGAGAGTCGTGATAGCGCCTACTAGTGAAAGTTAGGCAAGCCACTTTTTCCAATTACTTAACTTTTTTTCTTTTTTTATAATCCTTTAACAATGGTGAACAAACATCATATAAACAGCAGAAATATAAAGCGGAAGACTAAGACGTAACAATTTAATAATGATACCAATGCCAATCCATACATAAGCTACGCAGAACTGGTGTCACAATATCACAGACTGTTTAGGAATACTACAAATAAGGGTCTTGAAGATAAATACAACGTTGTCTCTGAAATACATAAAAGAATTAGAATGGAAAGATAGAAGGAGATGCTAGGGCCTGCGGACGCCTGCAGGACTAACTCGGGTCGCTTGATGGACTGAAGGCAGCCACCTCACAGCGCTCCAAAAGCTGCAGCACCGGGAGCTGCACACAGTGCATAGTGTAGTATCAGCACAACTGACCCCATGTGCTGGTAAGTGCCTAGCCTAACCTCGACGAAGTAGTGACGAGGCTAGGACCAGACTACCAAATAAATCTGTACAGTTAAATCATATACAGCGGAAAAATAAAAGCAGATATTTACAGTTAAAAATGGGAGGGGGAAAGCATGTTGCGGGGAGTATCAGATAACAACGGAATACCAATAGAGGAATGTAAAGAAAAACCATAATTCAATTGCCAACAAGAATAAGGAAAACCAAACACAATATTCACTTTCATTTCTTTCTTGTTGCGGCGTGCAACCTGATCCAAAATCATGTAATATCGTTGCAGCGTGCAACCCGATCTCATTTCATATAATACTGTTGCGGCATGCAACCCGATCCCATTTTATATATTACCATTGCGGCGTAACTCGATCCCATTTCATATAATACCATTGCGGCATGCAACCCGATCCCATATATAATGCAACATCAATCACAAAAGAATCCCGACAAGGGAGCAAGAGTATAACAACAACATCCCGGCAAGGGAGACAATATCATAAATAATAAAATTCCGGCAAGGGAACCAACAATGATAATCATCATATTAAGCATGAGTAAATCACCACGAAGTCACAACAATTACAATACGAGACTCACGGGCATGCTTGACACCGACGTATAGATACTCGTCACCATGCCTATACGTCGTACTTCACAATTAACACATAACAAATAAGACACAACTCCTAATCCCTCAAGCTAAGGTTAGACCAAACACTTACATCAATGCCACGAACACAATTCAAGCCTCAACTATCGCTTTACCTCTTGTTTCCACCACCAATTCGATTGTACCTAGCCACAAGTTACTTAACAATATCAATAAATGCTAAATGAATTAATTCTAATGCATGAAAATAAGTTTTCCAATAATTTTCCCAAAAAGTCAAAAAAAATCGACCCCGGGCCCATATGGTCAAAACCCGAGGTTCGAAACCGAAACCCGATTACCCATTCACCCACGAACTCAAATATATGATTTGTTTGAAATCAGACTTCAAATCGAGGTCCAAATCCCCAAAATTCGAAAATCCTAAGTTCTACAAAAAACACCCAATTTCCCCCATGAAAACCCTTGATTTTGAGTTGAAATCATGTGAAAAGATGTTATAGATTAAAGAAAACGAGTTAGAAATGACTTACAATCGATTTGGAAGAGTAGTTGCCTTTGAAAAATCGCCCAAAGATGTTTTAGGTTTGAGAGAGTTTGAAAAATGAGAAATTTTCGGCTAAGTTATGATTTAACAGGTTGTAGATGTCGCAATTGCGACCAGGGTTTGCAATTGCGAACCCCTTCAGGGCCTGCTATCTTCGCAAATACGAAGAATATGTCGCATTTGAGACCTTGAAGAAATTCGGTCACCTTCGCATTTGCGAGGGACCTGTCGCATTTGCGATGGAAGTGTAGCATTTGCGACACTGGGGTCTCAATTACCAAGCTTGTCCTCTTCGCAATTGCGAAGCCTGATCTCGCAATTGCGAGATCAGAGGCCTGGGCAAAAATACCAGATACCAACACTTGCTCCTAAGTCCAATTTCACTCTGTGGCCTATTCAAAACTCACCCCGAGCCCTTGGGGCTCCAAACCAAACATGCACGCAAGTCCAAAAATATCATACGGACTTGCTCGTGCGAACAAATCATCAAAATAACATCAATAACTATGAATTTAGCATCAAAATCAAAGAAAAATCTCAAGAATTCTTAAGTTCAAATATTAACAACCGAAGGTCCAATTCACGTCATATCAAGTCCGTTTCTTACCAAATTTTACGGGCTCAACTTAAATACTATATAAGACCTGTACAGGGCTCCGGAACCAAAATACGGGCCCGATACCATCAACTTCCAATACATTCAAATTTCCAAAAACTCTTAAAATTTTAGTTAAATCATTTTCTTCAAAAATTCATTTATCGGGCTTGGGACCTCGGAATTAGATTCCGGGCATACGCCTAAGTCCCATATTTTCCTACGGACCCTCCGGGACCGTCAAATCACGGGTCCGGGTCCGTTTATCCAAAATATTGACCGAAGTCAACTTAAATTCATTTTAAAAGCAAAATTTATCATTTTTCCCAGATTTTCACATAATAGCTTTTCGGATACACGCCCGGACTGTGCACGCAAATCGAGGTGTGACAAAAGGAGGTATTAAGGCCTCGGAACACAAATTTATTTTCAAAACAAGTGATGACCTTTTGGGTCATCACAACTTGAGCGCTGAAACTAAGGTAGGTACATTTCTTCAGCATAAAAATTAAGTAGAGGAAACCTAGCAAGAGAGTCTTCAGCATTCGTACTCCATTCCTTTCTTTGAACATCCTTTCTCTCTCTTCCTTTCTCAGCTATCTTTCTATTAAGGATTCTTAAATGCCCCAAGTTCTGATCCCTTACTTTTAACTACGTACAATCCCTTTCAACTCAAAATATATATATAAAGCCCTCCACCAATAATCTTAATTCTATTAGCTTTTCTATCATGGAACATTTTCACGTTCATCGTCACATCTTCTTGTGGATTTTGATCGTAACAGTCGTCGAAAAAGGCTCAATTGCAGAGGGCATGGGCGTGAACTGGGGAACGCGGGCATCTCATCCGCTACCACCAGACATCGTAGTGAAGCTGTTAAAAGAGAACGGATTCAACAAAGTGAAACTGTTCGAAGCGGATGCAGGAGCGTTGAAGGCGCTGGGGAGATCAGGTATTCAGGTTATGGTTGGAATACCTAATGACATGTTAGCATCATTGGCTAGCACTGTTCGTGCTGCTGAGGAATGGGTGCAACAGAATGTTTCTTCCTTTATTTCCAAGAATGGCGTCGATATCAGGTTTCCTTCCTTTAACAATTTTTTGAAATTGTAAGCTTCAATATGTTGTCCTATATTCCTATCTTCAATATTAATGTCATACGTAAACGAGCAATTTTCAGCAAAGCTTACTTGTAAACTAAGGTATGGAATATCTGTTCAAGATGATGTCTCGTTAGGTGATGATGCATGGCTTTCTTTGTGCCATGTGGATAAATAAGATGTCATCAAACTCTACATGCAAAACAGTATGGATATATGTAAAATCTAGATGTCTATCGTTTTGCTTTTCTTTCTATTTTCCCGCTTATTATACCCAGCTGAATGTTTGTAATTTATAAATTTATGTGTGTAATTACTAACATAAAATTTAAGTTATACTAGTACTGACAACTATTGAACTTTTTATTGATATAATTTAACCTGTTATAATTAATATATTATTTACAGTATTATTTATCAAGTGTATTAGATAGAGTTGTCTGATGGTGTAGTACTTTTTAACTAATTTGATTGTATAAATATTTTTTATATCTCAAAACACAAAACTTAAACTCAATTGGCATATGTTACTCTGTTTCATTTGCTCATAATAGTCGTTCAACTCTTTTCCATAAGGTGTAAATATCTTTATTTGCTTATAACGAGAAGTTTTATTTTGTGTCTCGTACAATTTACACTAGTTGTATGAGGCTCCTTTTTGTCTCACAAATTTATGGATCCCAATCTTACACTTTTGGATCCACGGAAATCTGGGTCCACAAAACTGTGAAACAAAAAAGTTAACTCATACAACTAGGGTTAGTGAGACACAAAATAAAATTTTCCATTTTTGACGGAACAGGAAGAAAAGAATAGTACGCAATTAGTCGAATTGCACCGTACTTCTTGCATTCTTTATTATTCTATTGTTTCCCTGTTTTTTCTTGGTTGTGTTCTAGCCCGCGCTGACCATTATGACTTATATTAGTAGTCAATTAAATTGTACGTTTTGATATCTTAACTTTGTGTCTTCCTTATGTTAATTGAGAAATCAATTTTAGGTACTTGTATATTACTACTACTTTTTAACTCTCTTAGCGAACAAAAGTAGTCCAATACGGAATAATTTTTTTCACATCACCATAATTATGTCGTATTTCTTCTCCATGCATTAACATTGAATTAAGAAAAATATCGTCGATCCAAACCAAAACTTATTAACCAGTTATGAAAATTGTTTACTTTCTTCTTATTTGATACAAAATTACATTTTGATTGTCTCTCAGGTATGTGGCAGTCGGAAATGAGCCTTTTCTGAAAGCCTACAAAGACACATTCATTAAAACAACATTACCAGCCTTAGAAAATGTGCAAGCAGCTCTTATTAAAGCAGGCTTAGGACGACAAGTCAAGATTACTGTTCCAATTAATGCAGATGTGTACCAAACAGACAGTGGAGTCCCTTCAGGTGGAAATTTCAGATCAGACATTCATGATCTCATGATGAAAATTGTCAAGTTCCTAAGTGACAATGGGGGTCCTCTCACTATTAACATCTACCCTTTCCTTAGCCTGTACGCTGACCCTCATTTCCCAATTGACTTTGCCTTCTTCTCGGGCTCTTCCTCTCCAGTCGTGGACGGCTCCATCACGTATAACAATGTTTTCGAAGCTAATTATGATACCCTCGTTTGGGCTCTCGAGAAAAATGGTTTTGGTTCGATGCCTATAATCGTAGGAGAAATCGGTTGGCCTACTGATGGTGATGCCAACGCAAACATTGAATATGCTAGAAAGTTCAATCAAGGTCTACTAGACCGAATTAGTCGTGGTATAGGTACCCCTAAACGGCCTACACCACCCGACATTTACATTTTCGGGCTCGTGGATGAAGATGCCAAGAGCATTGAACCGGGGAATTTCGAGCGCCATTGGGGAGTTTTTGCCTTTGATGGAGCCATTAAATACCAACTTGATTTAGGTAACAATCGAAGTCTGACACCAGCTAAAGGCGTACGATATTTGGCTAGGAAATGGTGTATAATGGCACCTGAGGCAAATGTTATGGACCCGAGCTTGCCAGAAAGTATAAATTATGCATGTAGCTACGCAGATTGCACTAGTCTTGGATATGGTTCGTCATGTGGTGGACTTGACGTTAAGACCAACGCTTCATATGCCTTTAATATGTACTATCAAACTATGAATCAACAGAAAGGGTCGTGTGAAAGGTTTCATAATTTGTCGGTCATTACAACAATTGATCCATCTCCTAGTTCTTCAAGCAGGGGCAGCTCTTCTTCTTGTCGATTTGAGATAATGATTGATGTGGGTAGGCACCAGTCAAGGGCAAATCCAGGAACTTCTTCTGCTACAAAGATCAAACATTTTTCTCTTCTTTTCTTTGTGCTAGCATTCGTAGTGGACTACTACATGTCTCTGCCTTAGCTCATTTGAGAGTTCATGTACATACGTACCGCTCCTTACTATAAATTTCTTATAAATTTTATTCTTTTCGCCAAACTAATTGCAATATCCCTTGTTCCCTCTATTTTGTGTGTTTCCGCTGTCATCATGCTTTATATATTTAATTACTTGGTTATATTAAGGTTTACGGATTCCTGCCGTTGTATAAAAATATAAGTATTATTTAATAATAATATTTAAATAATTAAAAGGAAAAGAAGGAAACTCATTTTAAGAATCGTGTTTCTTCGTACTGGTTTCAACCGTTGCCTTTCTAAATTAAAGAGTACAGCCGTTGGCTTTTGAAAGATTGTGTCTATTTAAATGTTCACTCTAACAGCCAATAGGTATTAAATGTGATACACATCTAACGATGCCTAATAAAAAAACTAGCAGTCATACAAATATAATTCGATTTTAAAGTTCGGATCGATGTTGAATACCATAGAAAATTAACATATCTATCACAACTTTATCTATCATTAGAATACAAGCAAATCAACTTCTCAAAATATTCAAATAATATTTTTTTTTTTTTGATTGTTTCTAAACTACTAAATGCAAATAAAGAAAATGCAATAAAATTAGCAACTAAGTGTGCAAAGGGTGGTAGATAAGGTTAAAGAGGCCTAGAATTATTATCTTACCAATTATCAGAATCATTCTCGCTACGTTACCTATAATTCCGTCAATTTGTACTCTACTAATCATGAGAAATTTACTTACCATAATTTTCTCTCGAGCAATCACAGTAATTTAGTAGATGTATTCTCTCGAACTACCCTAACTAATAATTTCTCACTGCTCACTCTGACCACATCGAAGCTTTGTTATCTATTGTCCCACTTTTAAACCTACAATATTGATCTCTCATATGCCTAGGGAGTGATATTGCCCAACAACTACCTGAATATGTATTCTCTCTCGAGCAACACATAATAAATAGGCATAATAAAACAGTAATGATCTGATAGGTCGCTTTGAGTACTAGCTCCTTTTTCTGTGTTTCAAGACTTTTCATAGCTTAATTTGATGATTTATGACTTGCGTGCGTAGTCCGTGTCTATTTCCGAAAAGTTTAAATGTGAAATTTTGAAGAAAATATGATTTTTAACTTTAAATGTGGCTAGAGTTGACAAAGTTAATCGTTTTTTGATAAACAACCTCGGATCGATATTTTGACAAGTTTGATAGGTTTGTATGATGTTTTGGACTTGTACGCATGTTCGGTTGGGGTCCCAAGTGACCCGAGGCCGTTTCGGCGCATTATGTAAAAAGTTCAAAAAATGAGTTTTGAACTTGAAAATCTTATGTTTTAAGATCAATTCTTGAATTTTGATGTTTTGAGCTAGTGAGCGAATTTTTATCATGTTATTACACTTGTGTGAATGTCCGGATTGAAGCCCGAGGGGTTCAGATGAGTTTCGGATGTGTTTCGGTTGGTTTTGGCATCTGAAGGCAATAGATTATGTGGAATGTCTGCAGGTCTCGCATTTGCGAGGACCTATTCGCAAATGCGAGCACCACAATTACAACGCCAAACTTGCATTTGCGATACTGGATCGCATTTGCGAAGGTGGAGATCTTCGCTTTTGCAAAGATTCTGTTGTACTTGCGATTGTGACGGAATTAGGGGAAGCTTCGCATTTGTGGACTGCCCAGGGTTCGCATTTGTCATGATCCCAATCTCCCTTAGTAGGATGTCGATGGAACCTAATCTCTAAGACTAGGTAAGCCTAATATACACGAAGAATTAACGGAAATAATAATAAAACTACCAATTAAACCAACATGTGTCATAAAAAGGACTCCACAATACAACTGAAATAACACCGAAAATCTTGTAAGACCGAATCATGAGCTCTACACGAGTGTACTAAAACATCCCTAATACAAGAATATCTATAATAGAAGTATACAGTAGAAACTAAGATAGAGGATGACTCCGAGGCTTGCAAATTCTAGCAGGTATACCTTGAAATCTCCGATCCAAGCTCAACTCACGGATGCCTAACCTGGTATGAAGTACATGGATCTGCACAGAAGATATGCTGAAGCGTAGTATAAGCACACCACAACGATACCCAGTAAGTATCAAGCCTAACCTCGGTAGAGAAGTGACAAGGTCAGGTCAAGACACCTACTGGAATAAGTAAAGAAGCTGAACATGTATGGTGCAATATAATAATGGAATCAAGGAATAAAATAATAAAGAATACAACAAGATAAGCCACATTGAAAGATAAGACGATAAAGGCATAAAGAGAGGAAACACATATTAAGAACACCAAGGAAATGATGCAAACAAAACAAAAGCGATATAAATGAAAGATAACAACAAGAATTATGTTACATCCCATATTTTCGTACGTGAGAGTACGTCGTAAGCCAATTGATGTAAGCTCGGAAATGAGATCGTTTTTGAAAGTACATAACATAAGTTCATCATGTTATCTTAGAGGTTACAAACCTTTAATATCATGAATAACAAGTACTAAAAGGGTTGGAAAGCTTAGACGCTAAACGAATTGAAGAAAATAAGTTTCGTCGAAAGTCGACAAGTTTGGAATGTTATAACATATACTTTTGGGGCGAGACTAGGGTGATTAACATGATGAGGAGGTATATTTATGAGTTATTTTAGTCGTATAATAGTCGTGTATTATGTTTTTAAGTCAAGCGAGTTGTGGAACAAATGTTGGCAAAGGTCATCACAAGTTGCATTCATAATGTGCTGAAATTTAGGTCAAATGTAGCTGCACTTTTCTCCCAATATGCTTAGAATCAAGGGATGATCTAAACATCAAATTGAAGATCTATGATTCTAGTTTCTAACTCATTAAACCATTTGTCGATACGACATTGTACTAGAGAAATATTCGTATTTTCACGAGACTGCGCAGCTCCCATGGGACCCACAAAGTCGGTTTAAACTTCAGCTTGTACTTAAGTCATTTATATGTCATTTTAACACATTTTTCTCATCCACAACAGTTCCTAAACCCTCCTAAATACTCTCTAAGGTTTCTTCCATGTCTCCATGATTCTAGGGTGAAAATCTAAGATAAAAACATGAATCCAACGCTAGAAACCTCGTGGTGCTTGCTAGATCGTAGTTCTTCATCTTGTGGCTATTTTGGAGGGTTCTTCAAAGGTAAGTAACCTCAGATTTAATGTTTTCCTTTATGATTAAGCTAATAATTATTACCTTCTTCATGTATATTAGAGTTTCAAGGCGAAATACAAGTGTTTACACACCAATATGAACACAAAAGTTGATCAAGAAGAGAATACAACTCTATAGTGTTGTGGTATGATTGAGGGATGTTGTGAGCTACACCAGCTGGGGATTTCAAGTTGTATCTACTACTTAAGGTAAGTAAATCATGTTCTTAGTTGTTCTTAAGGTCAATCATGTGTTGGTTGAGTTGTTTGAGTGAAAATCTACAAGGATAGTAATTGACATGGCATAAGGAATCGTTATCTTTTTTATGGGGTGTATTGATGCTATATATATGATTTGTTGTGGCTGGAAATTGATATAAATAGTTTTATTATGTTGTAGCTACTATTGTTAAGCTTATCTGTGTGCTAATTTAGTGGGTTGAAGAAGATAACATGAAAAATAAGATGTTGACGATAAAGGTTAAGGTGCTAGGTGTGTGGACTATATTTGAAGATTATGCTTATGATATTTTGGGTTGAAAATGATATGGTAAGCATAAGTATGATGTTATATATGTTATATGCAGATTCATGGAAAAGGAATTGGATTCAAACCATATTTTGTTAATCATAAATCGAGTTTGCCGCTCAAAATGGTTGTTGAACAAATCGGAGAAAATATTGTGAATCATATTGTTGTTGTTTGGGCTGTTTGGTGGCTTTTGGTAACATATGGGATGTATTATAAATAGGTGAGGTGTTGTCCGTTTTCTTGTAGAATATTGGTTTCCAAATATGAGAGTTACAACGCTTATATGATGACAACGAGACTGTTTACTCATTGGACGTAAGAATATTATATTGAGCTTGCTTGAAGATTGGATAGAAGATTTCAAAGGTATGTTAAGGTACTTCCTTCATTCTTTTGGCATGATCTAAAATGAAATGAACATAAATGATACGCTATTTCATAACGGATATACTCCTAGCAACTAAGGTTGCCCATATTGTACTTTCCTTATGAAGTTATTCTAAGCAAGTATGTATGATCCTTAAATCCTACTGAGGTTTATATTGATGGTATGGATGTACATAATGTTAATTGAAGGTGCAACGACCTTACGTCACTCCAAAAGGTTTAGAACGTGATTCCATGAGTCCAGCATGCATTATATATAGTATCTATTTTACTCTACCGAGAAGTGCTATAGTCGGCCGGGTACGACACCTATTGTGAAACCACTGATCAGTTGGGTTTACCTAGCTCCACGTGGTCGGGTATGATTCTACCGAGCCTTATGAGGGCCGAGTACGTTTTTACCGAGTCCTCTTTGAGGCCGAGTACGATATGATGATGATGATGCCCATAGAGGCGTATGTTTTTAAAAGTTTATGTATATATATATGTATTATGCATTTCATGTCAGTAGTCCCTAGAGGCACTCAAATGTTACAGGTTGTATCTCCTCTATCTCTCTTTACATTACTATTCTTGTTTATATTTTCTTGCCTTACATACTCGGTACTTTATTTGTACTGACGTCCCTTTTGCTTGGGGATGCTGCGTTGCATGCCCGTAGGTACTGATTGATAGGTTGCCAGTCCTTCAAGTATGTTATCAGCTTAGCAGAAGGTGTTGGTGCACTCCACTTGCTCCGGAGTTGCCTATTTGGTCAGTATGCTTTGGATATGTATTGATTTGTATGGCGGGGCATGTCCCGACCTTTATGATATTATGTACTCTTAGAGGCTTGTAGACAGATGTCAGGTGTATGGATAGTGGTATGGCCTTTTCGGCCTATGTTTTGAGTTTACAAATGATCATGTCGGCCTTATAGGAACGTATGTCACATGTATAAGTCTGTATATCATGTTGTG